ACTTGCGCCCCTCTGCTGCTCCATCACTGCCCTCTGGCTCCTCTCTCCGTTTCACCACCCTCGTACATTTGCTTCCTCCCCCTTCCCCCACTGAAGCTGCACGCTCCCTCCCCCGCCCCCTCCTTTTTCTTATCCTCCTCCTCCTGCTCCGCTTTCCCCCTCCATTTCTCGCCAATGCACTGTCGCCCCTCTGCACGGCGACCGCCCCCTTTTGCCCCCTTCCTTCCAAGCCCACGCACTCTCTCTCTCTCTCTCTCTCTTTCTCTCTTTTCCCTCTCACGTCGAGGGGCATACTTGTCGCAACAGTTACACTGTGTTCATGGCCCCCACATGAGCGTCCACGAGCAACGGGCCCCCACAAAGGCGCCAGGGACACCCCAGAGCGGCACAACCTAGAAACCCCGTGGAAACGACGATTCCCCCGACACCTCCTCAGAAGGTCGACGCGACGCTGTTTCGCGGGGGCAGTTTCAACACCACCATCCCGAACGCAATGCCTCAGGAAAAAACATGCGCCGACCCCTGCAGCTCCGCACTGCCGACGACCTCTCGCCCAATCGACCGCGGTGCCTCATCATGGGCCGGCGGAATGAGCGAAACGATTAAATAACAAAACCAATGTTCTTATAACATAAACCCGCTGTGTCTAAACAAGACAATATCAACCTGAAATGTTCGAATACAATTTCGTGGAAACCTCAGAAGGTTCTTAGAACATTGTTTGGTTGGGCTATAGGCGAGCCGAACGCTTCGCCACTGCTTGATGCGGGGCGCTGAGCCCGGCGGCCTCCTCTTCACCGTCAGCAAGTCAGCCCAAAGCCGCCGCTTGCCCGGCTCCGGCCCAGCTGGGGCCGCCCGGCCCTGCGCCGTCGAAGGGGTCGCGACGGCCGCGGCCAGGGGCTCGCGCCCCTCCGCCAGCTCGTGGCTCTCCAGCCCCGCAGGCTCTACCCGCGGAGAGGCCGGAGCATGGGGTACCCGGAGCGCCGGCCGAGTCAACCGCACGCCAACACAAGTCTCGATGTCATCTCGGTCTGACTGTCTCAGACCAAACCGAACCAATAGAAACATTACTTGCAGATGGTGTCCTCGTCAGCGACATTTCCGCAAAAGCTGGGGCAATCGAGCATGTCGTGACCAATTGTGGCCCACATGGCCGCGCACCAATCGCACCCACGGTATGTTTCGCAGACTGTTTTGGGCGAGTCCTGGGCGAGTCCACAACGAGCTCGACCACAATGCGCGCAGCACTCCTGCACAAACCGGTGGATCGCAGCTTTGCTCGCCCCAGAATCCTTTCTCAACGCTATCATCCCTACGTGAGAGAGAACGCGTTTCACGGGCGCTTGCCTTGGCAACATTCGGCGGCGCGTTTCACACCCGGGGGTGCCCCCCCGCCCCCCCCCCCCCAGCACTCGGCGCCGTCAATCAAAACCAGGGGGACTCCCCTCCCCCCCAACCCCCAACCTCCCGAACCCCCCCCCCCTCTCCTCCGTCGGCGCCGGCGGCGCCGGCGCTGGCAGCCGCCAGCAACGTCCACGGCGGGGACGCAGCGACGATGACCAGAGGCAGCTCAAAGGGGGGGGGGGGTTCAAACCCCCCCCCCCCTGGCGCCGGGGCGGGGGGTTCAACCCCCCCGCCCCCCCCCTCGCGCTGGCGCCGGCGCTGGTGGCGCCGGCCAGCAGCACCGGCGCTGGCGCCGGCGACGGCGGGGACGCAGCGACTTTTTTCACCACTGCCACCACCACCACCACACCATTTCCACGACCACCACCGCCTCAACTCACCACCGCCACCACCAACAACAACAGCACCACACAACCACCACCACCACCACCACAGCCACCACCACCACAACAACCACCACCACAACTCACCATCACCACCACCACAAAAAAAACACCACCACTACCACCAAAACCACCACAATCTACCACACCACCACCACCACCGCCACAACCACTACCAATAGCACAACCCACCGCCACCACCACAAACCACCACGCCACCACCACCACCGCCACCACCACAATCACCACAACAAACGTCCAAACCACCGCCACCACCACAACCCACCACCACCACAAACCACCACCACACCACCACAACCAACACCACCACAACTCATCATCATCACCACCACCACAAAAACCCACCACCACTACCACCACCACAATCTACCACACCACCACCACCACCACCGCCAATACCACCACCACTACCAACAGCACAACCCACCGCCACCACCACAAACCACCACAGAACCACCACCACCACCGCTACCAGTACCACCAGCACCACCTCCACAAACCACCGCCACAACCACAACCCGCCACCACCACCACCACAAACCACCACCACACCACCACCGCCACCACCACCACCACCACAACCCACCACCACCACCACCACAACCCACCACCACACCACCACCAAACCACCACCACCACCACCACCACCCACCGCCACAACCACCACTACTACAACAAACCACCACACCACCACCACCACAACCACTACCACCGCTACCACCGCTACCACCACCACAACCCACCACCACCACCACCGCTACCACCACCACCACCAGAACCCACCACCACCACCACCACCGTCGTCCTCGTCGAAGCTCCCCACCACCGCCGCCCGCCGCTGCAGGCGCCGGCCGGCGCCGGCCCAGAAATGGAAATCGTCGTCCCCGCCGCCGCCGCCAGCCGCCGACGCAAGCGCCAGTCCAAGGAGAGGGGAAGCAAAGGAGGGATCGCGGGAGGGGGGGGGCGGTTCCACCCCCCCCCCTCCAAGCGACCACAAAACGCGATCTTTCCTACGTGAACATGTAACTGTGATAATATAGATGGTCGTCGTTACACATGATCATACATGCTCGTCTTCTTTCTCATCCCCTCCCCCTCTGTCTTCCACCGCTTTTCCTGTTCATCCATCCTCCTCCCCTTCTTCTGCACATGCAATGTAGGTTGCTCAAAGATCTCGGAAGGCTGCCATCGCTGAACACCGTGCCTGACCAGCTCTAGCAACGACCGAGCAGGACGGGCACGTCGAAATGATGGCAGAGATCGTTTCTGAGGACGGTGCTGGAGAGCGCGCGCCCGCTGCCCGGCCCGACGCGAGCCAGGCGGCTCCATCCCTGGAGGGGGATGAGGAGGGAGAAGGACGACAGGGCAGTAGCGGCACCGATCCCCACGTGGCTCCCCCCGTGACTGCACTGGAGACCCCCAGGCCTCCGTCGGATTGCTCCCAGCCTTCGGGTGCTGTGGGATCATCTGTTCGGCTCCGCGGCGCCTGGCCCCGCCCCTCCTCCCCCGCCTCTTGTCCCGCCGCCCGCCTCCGCGCTCCGTCCGCAGGCACAAGGCGGCGCACTTCGCGCGTGGATCGTGCCCTCAGAGGGAGCTCCACGCACGGCCCCAGTGGAGGCGCGTTGGCATACCGCGACGCGTCCCGTTCGGCCCGCGCCTCACGCGGACCGTGCCCCACAGGGGCTCCACATGCTGAAAGCAACCCAAGTCACCTCCACAGCCACTACATCACATGTTGTATACTCAAAGCTTCTGTCTTGCGGCCTGCGGAGCGACGCTCGCCGTCGGGTGACTTCGCGCACATGCACGGGCGCATTTTCATAAGCGAAAGCGCGAATCCAATCAAACACGAACGCGAGTTAAAACAACCAAAACGCACAAACAACGGCGTTCTGAAAAGACTGATGGAAACATAACTGTTGCGAATTGCACGATTGGCCGTGGGAGCGCGTCGACTACCTCCACAGGCGTTCCAGACAAAATGTAAACATCGTCCTGGTGGGTGGGTGTTGGGGGGGTGCTGTCTCTTGACCTACGGCCTGGGCGAGTGCCTTCGCATGCCGCGGCGCGCCTATTTCGGCTCACGCCTTACGCAGATCGTACCCCACAGGGAGCTCCACCTACGGCCTGGGCGGGCGCATTCGCATGCCGCGGCGCGCCCACTTCGGCACACCCCTCACGCAGATCGTGCCCCATAATTAAGGACTTCAGCGCGCCATGCGCCCGCTTGCTCCGCAGCCCCCTGACCAAACCTCCCCGCGGCGCGCACTGCGTGAAGAGAGGGCCACGCCCTGCGCTTCACGCAATCACATACGGTGGGGCCCTTCGCCTAGCTGTCATGCTTCAGCCCGCAGGCTGAGCATCGTGTAACCGATCCCAAACGGCCGACTTACCGACCTAGGTGGGGATCCATGCCCGGTGGTTCGGATTTCGCGGAGACAATCCCCACCTAGGAGTGTGGGCTGGTGGGGCTGATGCACTAAGGCACAGTGGGGTTGAGGATAGGTTAGACGATGCTGTTGCCACGTTTCCGCCCGCACGCCCAGAGTTCTCGGCCCCTGCCTGGGGACAGGCTGCTCGTCCCGGATCGTTCTCTGACGGCCCAGGGGCCCCGAAGCAGCCCCCACGAGGCCGAAAGTGGTTAAACACCTCTGCGAGCTGTTTTGTTGAAGCAACTGCTAAACAACATGGACTTCCATTGACCCCATACTGAGATGCTTGAGTGTACTCTCTGCATCAGACTGCCGCTTCCTTCGCGGCTAGCATTTGTCCCTTGCTGAGCCGATGTGTCGTGCGAGGTGGCTTGCAAACGAATGAACGAATTTGCTCTCTCCTAGACGTCGAGAATCTGGGTTTGAAATCATTGCTTTTCGGTTGCGGGTGCTCAGTCGGAACCACTCCCGGCGGGATCCGCGAATGCCCTTGCATGGCGCTCCTGCCTTCGGGGGGCGTCCAAGAGGGGGACATCCGATAAGCGGGCTTGCAAATCATGGCCGGAGGCATGTCCGCGGACGAGGGGGGGAGGGGAGCAGGCGACGCGTTGAAGGAAGGAGAAAGGGCCATGAGATCCGGGGAGACAGCATGGCACCGGCCCTGATATCGGCTCCCCCACACTTCTGTCCCCCCTCTTTGCCGCCCTCGAGATTTCGGAGGTCCAGGCCGAGGATCTGGCGGCCGGCCCGGGCTGGCGGCCTTCGCGAGCCCCTCGAACTTCGCGCACATGCCGAAGCCGATCAACTCGGCGCGCGCCCGCCCAGACGGGCGGTGCTGGCCGATCGAGTCTCGCTCGTGGCTGTGAGGGGGGAGGGAGGAGTAGGACAAGGACGATGTGCAGACGCTACAGCCAGTTTATGCTAAAGCCTGGGCGGCGTGAAAAGAAAGGAGGAGGAGGAGGAGGAGGAGGGAAAGGAGGACGCCCTGGGCTATTTTTGTAATTTGGGCCTCGCATGGTCTCCGATGGAGGAGATTCTGCACGTAGTGGAAGGAGGGAAGTGAAGTTCTGGAGTAGCAGCGGTGAGGTGGCGACGAGAGGGGCTCGGGGATAAGGAGGCTGCGGATGGGGTGTCGGGGAGATGATGAGCAGGTGCCAGAGGGAGAGGGAGCACGGTGTAGGCGGGTGGGAACTGGGGGTTGCGCAGTTAGAAGGGGAGGTGCATGGGGGACGAAGAAGTGGCGCGGGGAGGCTCGGAAGGGGAGAACAAGAAGTGGAGGGTTACGGTCCGACTCCTGTGAGGTCCTCGTCAGAACCATTAAGGGCTACTAGGCCAGATTAAGGGGCCGCTCGGTCAGACGAGCCCAAATTAGATTCAATATCAAGCGCGGTAAAGCTCGAGCCAGTGGGGCTAAGCCAGATTAGCAGGGATTGAATCTAAAAAAAATCCCAGACATTGCATGACATAGGAAAGGGGACAGATGGATGATGATGGGAGATAAAAATAATCAACACATAGTAATACGAATGGTAATACTGATAATAATATTAGTACTACTAGCACTAGTAATACGAATCAACTTACTACGAATTATCGCACTATTACTGATATACATATGAAGAGGTATTACTAATAATAATAAGAATAAAAAGAAGTGGATGGGGGAGGAAATGGAAGACAAGGAGGCCCGACAACCTTTCCTCATCCTCGCTGCTCCTTCGTGCTCTCCCCTGCCCTCGCTCAGCGTGCGCATGACGTTACAATTTGTTCAGGACGTGGGCCCTTGGGGATCTCGACCACTTCCCCCAGGACCCGTTTTCACTCGGGGCAAGTTTTTGCCGGTCTCAGGGCCTAAAACGGCCCCCCAGACACGCGACGCCCGGCTCTGAAGTCTCTGGAGGCCGCTGGAAGCACACGGAAACACAACACCTGCCCCACACTCCCTCCTCCTCCTCCTCCTCCTCGAGCTCCCCCTCCCCCACCTCCTCCCCCTCCATCTCCTGCCCAGAGATCGGACACCTTGATTTTTGCTTAGCGCGGGGTCTCCCGAAGTCCCGACCCCGGCGCGCAAACGGCGGTGGCGCGACGAGGGGGGCGACCTCCTAGAAGGCGGGGTGCTTCTGAGAGCGGCCTGAAGCTGTCTGCGGCATCTTCTTAAGATACCAGGATGGATTCGAATCCTCATGCCTTCCAATACCCCCCCCCAGGCCTCTTCAGTGGCCCCCCCATCACAGCGACAAGGACTTGGGTATATAACCGCGCGCGACACTGCTGCTGACGTCATGCTTGCCCCCACGCTGTCCGTGCAGAGCGAGATGCCAGTTTTTGCATCGAGCGTCTAACGTTCAGGCCAACACTCGCAATTTGAGCACCTGCTGCTATGACCATAGAGCGACCCCGTTCTACACGATTTGTTGGGGAACACTGTATTTTCGTGAAGCAGGGAAGCAGCTGCGGGAAGGATCATGCAGAGCATGGAGGTGGCATACAGAGATCTTGCAGAACGCGGCTCAAGGATCATACAGAAATCACACAGATCGCGCCATGTTTCCCTGTGCGCGCCGCCAACCAGGGCAGACGTTTCACCCCAAAGCGTTCTCTGATGGCTCCGGGGGACCTGTGAGGGCCCCCGAATGCCCGAAACGGCAAAGAGCCTCCGGGCTGTTTTTGTTCAACAGTGTTAGAGGTCTGGGCCCTCCTCCTCTCCCACTCCGCCCTCCTCTTCCCTCCTTCCCCCTCTCTCCCCCTCCCTCCCCCTTCATTCTCCCTCCCCTCCCCCTCCCCTCCCCCTCCTCCTCCTCCTCCTCCTCATGCTCCTCCTCCTCCTCCTCCTCCATTTCTTTTCCTTCTAAATAACTCCTCCCTACCCCGAGGCTGGTCGAAAGGGCAGGCTGCGCGTTTCGACTGAGACTTCCTCATCATTCATGGCCATGACACTCAAACATTGGCAACAGTTTCACACATTGAGGGCGGGTGGTTTTCAAAATGTGGCTCTAGCCTTCGCGGCGAGCACATTCGTTATAAACATGTGCAAGAGCTCCACGGATTAAGGGCGGGCCGTTTTCAACATGTGGCTATAGCCTAAGCGCCGCGCACATTCGTTTTAAACATTTGCAGATGCGTTTCACGGATTGAGGGCGGTTCGTTTTCAAAATGTGGCTCTCGACTTAGCGCTGCGCACATTTGTCTTGAACGTTTGCAAGAGTTGCATGGATTGAGGGCGGTTAGTTTTTCAACATGTGACTATCGCCTTCGCGCCGCGCCCATTCGTTTAAACACATCGCAAGAGTTTTGCGGACTCCCATGGTCAACGCACCAGAAATGGTGTTTTGGACGGACTCAGGATTGTGAGGGTGCAACAATTACGCTGGCTCGCGGTGTTGAAGTCCCAGGACTGGTGTTCTGGCACGGTTCAGGACCGCCATGACGCGATAATCAGGTTGATCTGTGGCGTTAGAGTCCTTCAGACGGTTGTCCCCCAACGAGGCAGTTCCCTCAGTGGAAATGAACCCTTGTAGGAGACTGTGAAGAGGGAGCTCGAGGGTTTATTCCAACATCGTTGAGGAGTCTTGAGTTTACACTGGTCCTCCTCCTCCTCCTTACGTACTTACCCATCCATGGAGGGAATCCCTGAAGAGTTACACACAACATGCACAACACTGGTCCTCCTCCTTCTCCTCCTCCTCCTCCTCCTCCTCCTCCTCTCCAAACCTAAGGGGGCTGGGCCGTGGTCGGCCGAGGCAGCGGCTATGGAGGCGAACTGGTTCAGAAGCACCAGAGCGCTCGCCTGCACCTCTGGGGCGCCCAAGCGAGCACGCGCGCGCGCGACCAGGCGGGCGGCCAGCGCGGAGAAGGTTATAATTCAGGACGAGAGTCGCCGTGGGGGAATCGGATCCTGAAGGAAAAACAGCCTGAAGGTTGTCGCCCTTTTGGCTTCCTGAAGAATGCTGGGCCACCTCTTGAGCAGGGATCGACCGTCACGGCATTCCTGTAGGCCTACCACGAAACCTTTGTTAGAGCCACGCAATGTTCTGTCAATACGAACAATGAGCTTACAAAAATACCACTGGTGTATGAATACAAGACAGTTTCAGCCAGAAGTGCTCGAACACACACCTCGTACAAGCCAAAAGAGGTCCCTAGGAGACGGTGAGGACGCTTCGCCACTGCTTGAATCCAGGCCTCCCGAATCGGGTCCGACCCCAAATACATCCCGATACTGTTTCTCCCTGGACCTCTCCTCAAACTCCCGGCCGGCTCCAAGCCCATGGCGGCCGTGAGGCGCCCACCAGGCGAAAGCCCGCCGCTCACCGCCCCCTACAGACCTGGGGTCTCCCACATGCATCCCGTGGAGGGCCGCAGTGCTCCCACCCCCTGGCCGGGCCAGGCCGACAGGGCGGCCTCGAGGCCGAGCCACCGGGAGATGCTCTCTCATTCTTTCGGGTCACGGTCGTTACCTATGGGCGTGGGGCAGGGGCTGGGGCCCCGGACACCGGTAGCCTCGGGGCGGGGGCGCGCTGCGATCGCCACAGCATGCGCGCGGGCAACGAGCACGGTGGAGGGGGTCCAAGCCCCCCTGCCCCTCCACGTACGCGTACGATCATTATCGGTACCCGGGGAGGGGGAGGGGGGGTCTGGCCTGGGTAACGACCGTTTCGCGCCAGAGAATGAAATAAATCTCTGGGGATGCCTTCCGTCAAGATCGACAGTGAGGATGCACGCTGAGGATGCAAGAGCCTCTGAAGGCCATGATGGCACTTTTCGAGCGACTGTGACCAAGGGTTCCCCAAGGGGCTGGCCAGCGAAAGGGGCCAAGGATGGGTCAAAGGGCAAAGGGTACAAGGGCAAGCTTGGAAAGTCGCTCATTCTCACTATGGATTTTGACTTTAAGCACCCATGTGCGACCCTGAGATTCGACGTCACAAACTACAATGCAACACCAAAAATGCAAGGCCGAAAAAAAACGACCAGAAGCGCGGCATTTCTCGTGCGGGATCGATCCTGGGGCCCGACTCGAAGCATAATCGCCCGTTTTGAAAACATTGCGACGCCAGGAGTCCAGGGACCCCTGCAAGTCAGATTTCTGAAACCTAAGGCAACTATCTTCGCGCTCCGTGCTCCGCGAAGCGCGATTCTCTCTGCGCTTTCGCGCTGCCCCCCTACCCGGAACAGGATGCAGGACTCGCGCCTCGCACTGAAATCGCCCAGACCCCGCTCTCCGCCCTTTCCTCTCGAGCCGTTCTGCCCAGACAGACGCCCGCACGAGGCAACACTCTCCGCCTCCTCCTCCTGCCGCCCGCCGACCGGCCACGGGCCGCAGGCTCCGAGCAGACCCCCCCCCCCCAGACTCCCCTTCGCACCCCTCTGGCCTCGGGCGGCACCTCTGAGGGGCAACGACAGGGGGGGGCAGGTTCATGGGGGGGGGGACATCGACCAGGAATCGGAGATGCATCGCCGATAGATCGGCGATAGGCCCCCCGGTAGCGAATCCCCCATTTCCTACAGGTGGGCTGGGTGGTGCTATCAGGCTCCAATCGGCGATCAATGGGCGATTGGGGGTCGATGCGTGCCCACCTGAGCCTATCCCCGCCTATCGTTGCCTCCAGAACCTGGCCAGGCTGGAAGGGGGGGTGTAAAAAGATGTGGTTCGCTGTGGCGCTGACGCCTCGCCTCCTCCCCCTCCTGCCTCCTGCTTCCTCCCGCTCCCCCACCCCCCCTCGCTGTGAAAAGATTACGACGAAGCATTTTCCCAAATCCCCTGCATCCCCGAGAACCCACTCGGGGCCCCAAAACCGTCAAAAAACGTCTCGCAATGAAAAACAAGTGCCAAGGGAGAGGCCGGGACCTTCGGGGGCCCACGTCGCGAAAAAAAAAACGCGACGCCTGAGTTCTGGGCCCTCCTCTCTCACACCCCTGCTCCCCCGCTCTCCGCTCAGGCTGCGCTTGGCCGGGCCTGAGGGGGGGGCAGACGGTGCGGGCCGCTCTGGCGCTGACGGCCCCCCACCCCCCTCCTGCCTACCGCCTCCAGCCCATCCTCCAAAATGAGAATGGTGCCATGGTGCGATGGGCCCAGGATGTACCCTCTGGGAATCCAGGTACATCTGTCGACCCTCGCTTCCCTGAGACCCGACGTCGCGAAAACTCTGCAACAACGTGAGACAACCCGACCAGAGCCGTAGACCTTCCCGCTTCTACTGCATTGCTCTGAGGTGGATCCATCCATGAGGGTACCAGGGCCCGAAACAAGGCAGAACCGCCCGTCGTGGGGAAAATGCGAGGCCAGGGTCTCAGGGAACAGCAGAAAACCTTGGGAGTCTGGGGCATCTTGGAGCGTACCACTGCCGTGGCGTGAGGACCTTCTGACCCTCCGCCCCGCGGCCGCCGCTCCCCTGCCGGGCCGGAGGACACGAGAGGATGAGCAGAAAGGGGGGTGTCAGCGAATCAGCCCACGTGGCCAGTTGTCCCAGTGCATCCCAGCGCCAATGCATCGGGCAAGGCGCCCAGCGGCAGGGCCGAGACCAGCTCCACGCACCGGACTGCCCACCCCACCCCCGCTCCCCATCCCCCCCCACACCGCCCCTCCCTTAGAGGGCGGAGCTCGGTATAGAACATACGCCTCTCCGCCGTCAGGGACGCCTGTCCCAGGGCGGCTGAAACATGTCCCGAGCGGTGGCACGTTTGGGCACAAGAATTCCAGCCGCCCTGGAGCAGACGCCCCGGAAAACATGCGCAGCATGCCGCAAGGATGAGAGTAAGGGGGCGTTCGCGGGGTGGGTCGTGGGTGGGTCGCAGGGTGGATCGCGGGGTGGGTCGCGGGTGGGTCGCGTGGCTAGAGGGGGGCGACGACAACAACAAACATCACAGGGCTGAAGCTAAACAGTGCTTGTCGTTTTCGTTTTGTTTTCGCTTTCCTTCGTTCTGCCTTCGTTCCACCTTTGCTGCGAAACGAAATCAAAACGACAACGATCCACGACATCGCCGAAACACCGTTCAGCTCGAGCCCTGAAACAGCAACAACACAGAACAATATAGCAAACATAATCTGGGCCACAAGATCCAACTCCACCCAACCACCCAAAGACGATGATGTAATAAGACCGTTCAACCTCTTCACTCTGATGTCGTACCGCTCTGCGTCCGCAAAATCTTGTCTGACCGACACACCCGTGGCGCGCGCTCCCGAGAGCCTTGCCGGTCTCCATGGCCCACTTGCTGGAGAGGCCCTTGGCAGTGTCTATCAACACCTGGCTCGCTGGCTCTCGGCGGTGAGGCTGGTGATCAGAATGATTAAGAGACAACTCCTGGGAAGTCTCCGCAAGAACGGTTCAGGGCTACCACGCCCGATTCAGGGGCCGCTGGGCTAGATCAGCCCGGATTAAGCCTAGGATTGACCCAAACTAGGCGGGACTCAGCGGGATGAAAACAGATTCTGCTGGGTCAGGCCGTTTTCGACCACGGCTAATTATGCCAGCGCCGATGCAGACTGTAACCTCCCAGGAATTGCATCCTTTGAAGGGGCAGAAGGCGCGACGGCCTGAAATCCTTCCTTCCCCCGTGCGTCACGCTCCGGCACTGCCCCGGCCTATCCTCGCGCGGGCCTCCCCGAGCTCGGCTCATCCCAGAGCTTGGACCGCCTGTCGAGGCAACGGCCTCGCGTGGCAAGGGCAATCGGGAGGACAGTGGGGAGAATGAGTGCGAGGACGGCGGTGGGCGGGAGCGCAGGTGATCGGCATCTCTCCCCGCAGAGGCAGGTGTGGGCCGAGCGGCTTGTCCAAGCCAGCTTGCGTAGATCGCGAGCAAGGAGACCTGTCCCATCCAGCAGGAGGGGACGGGGAAAGGGGAGGAAGAAAGGGCAAGGAAGGGCAAGGAGGGCAGATGAAGGAGGGGAAGGATGCGAAAGGAAGGGGGAGGGCAGAGAAGGAGGAAGGGGGAGGACTCGGACAAAGGGGAGGAAGGGAAGGGGTAAGGAGGAGAGGACGGGGGAGGGAAGCACAGAGAGGGAAGGAGAACACATGTGGGTGGGGGGGGGAGAGAGGGACAATACAAAACAACTTACCACTATGGATCCACGCGCACGCAACATGCCCTGCACGGATGTAGCCAAATTGCGCACTGCATTATCATTTGACGGTTTGCTCTGGACTCGCGCAACACCCCCCACAAAAAAACGTAACGTCAAGAAACACCGACGATGATACTATGTGACCAAGACCTTTCGTAACCCACTCTGGCGTTCGATCTCACCCTCCGACCTGTGGACCCACGGTGCAACAAACGGAGGTTGGGGGGGTGAGATCGCAGTGGAACGGAGAGCCCTCCCACTGGGAAATCGATTTCAATTTGTTCGTGTCGTGCGTGCGGGCGAGGTGAATCTGCGTGGGCGCGCGAGAAGAATGACCCGCCATCGCGAAGGCGATTCGGATGCAACGATCCGGCCCTCTCGTGGGCGCGCGATGGCTGGGGGTGTCCTGCCGTGGTGTCTTGCGGTGTCCCGACGGTGTCCCGCGGTGTCTCGCCGCGGGCGCGCGAGAGGAATAATTCCGCCGTCGCTAGGGCGATTCGGATGCAAAAATCTGGCCCTCTGATGGACGGGCGGTGGCTGTGGGTGCCCCGCCGTGGTGTCCCGCGTTGTCCCGATGGTGTCCTGCGGTGTTCTGCCGTGGTGTCCCGATGGTGTCCCGATGGTGTCTCGTGGTGTCCCATGGTGTCCCGCGGTGTCCCAATGGTGTCCCGCGGTGTGTCCCGTAAAGTCCCGCGGTGTCCCGCCGTGGTGTCCCGATAGGTCGATGGTGAGATCAGTAATTGCATCGATCGTGCGTGCGGCAGTGAGATCGATAGTGAGATCGATAGTTGCATCGATAGTGCAACCGATAGCGCACTCAAACACCACAGTCAGCAATCATCCATCACAGCGCAAAAGCGGTGGCACTGATTTGGCTCGATGGTGTCCGATGGTGTTCCAGTCGTGCTCAGCGCCACCCAATGGGAGGTCGGTAATGGGATCGATCGCAGACTGGCCGTGAGGTCGATAGTGAGATCGATCGGGTCAGATCGATAGCGGGGTCGATAGTGACATCACATAGCGGCGCATCGTCGTCAACACGCGTCGTCGCCAACTCGAGAGCGCGCCACTAGCATCGTCATCATCACACCCATTGCAGTTGCCAGCAGTTGATTCCTTCCCCTACCCCAAACCTCCTTATCACCCGAAGGGTGGTAGTATAGGTACATCTCCTCTGATGTGCACAATTTAGCGAACAAATCTCTAACTCCCCCACTTCCAGTCTGCATGGGCTTGCATTGAACCATGCGGAGGTACAACTTCGGATTATTCAGATCACGTGGACTGCAGCCGAGAAAAGCAACCACGACCTCCCATATGCGTATCGTTTTCATTGAGCCATATTGGCTGATGTTCATGAGTTGTGGTCCCTGTACCTGATCTCAACGCATTGTCGCATTGCTAAGCGCTGGCTGCGCTCAAACATGTATTCTGAACCTCTTGCTGCCCTTGGGGATTCGATGTTTTTTGAAGGAAGGATGCACGCAACATACTGCCGATCAAGTCGTCTCTGCTTCTTCCAATTGAGTGGAACAAGTACAAAAAAAAAGTGTCACAACACCATGAGAAGAAGAGGACGACGAAAGCGACAAGATGGAGAGAGAGGGGAATGAAGAACAAATAGCGCGCAGCAACCAGAGAACCCACGCGTCAGGTTGAGAAACAACAACATGCGAGAGATCAATGTGCACAACTCGAGTTTGACCTCTCTTGACCGCCACCGTGCCTGCAAGGCACGATTTGGAGCGTCCTTGGCCTGAGGATGTTTAAAGGGCCCGGACCCCACATTCTCAAACCTCCCGAGGCTCCCAGCGCGCCTGGGGCGTCTTCCCGCATAATTTGCTCGGGCCCAAAGACGGGCCAAGTGCCGCAAGAGGCCTCTGGCCTACACACAGGGCACGGTGGCGGGGTGGCCCGAAGGCCACTAGACCTGCTTGGCACGGGGACGGAAAGCGCACTTACTTTCAGAGCGCACGAGATCGCTGGCTCGTCCGCTCTTACACCTCTTATTGACTCCCTTCCCCTCGCTCTGGTCCTATCTCAGCCTCGGAGAGTCGCGGAGCTTTCTTTGAGCGCGTTTCTTGTTCCCAACCAGGGGGCGGTCCCGCGTTTTCCTTGCGTGGACCGCTCGTTGTCCACGCGTTGCCGCCCGTCCCTGTGCCCTGGCGTCAAGAACTTATTACGCCGCAGCTCTCTGTTGGGAGCGTTGGTCTTATCAGCTCGATTACGTCACCGCTCGCTCTTGGGAGCCGCGGTTTAAAAAAGCCTTTGGGAGTATTTTGGGGCTCTTGGGGGGCTCTTGGGGAGCCTCTTGGGTGCCTCTTGGGGCTTTTCGGGGGCCTCCGGGGGCCTCCTGGGAGCTTCTGGGCTGCGGGGGTGAAGGGAGTAGGCTGCCTTTGGCCGTCTTTGGGCTCTCTTGGGGCCTTCTTGGGGCCGTCCTGGGGCCGTCTTGGGCCGTCTTGGCGCCTCTTGGGCCGTCTTGGCGCCCTCTTGGCCCGTTTTGGGGCCTTATTGGGGGCCTCTGGGGCCTTCCTGGGGCGCTCTTGGGGGCCTCTTGGAAAGTCTTGGACGCTCGCTCTTGGGAGCCGCGGTGCTAAGAGCCTTTGGGAGTATTTTGGGGCTCTTGGAGGGCTCTTGAGGAGCCTCTTGGGTGCCTCTTGGGGACCTTTTAGGGCTTTTCGGGGGCCTCTGGGGGCCTCCTGGGAGCTTCTGGGCTGCGGGGGTGAAGGGAGTAGGCTGCCTTTGGCCGTCTTTGGGCTCTCTTGGGGGCCTCTTGGGGCCTTCTTGGGGCCGTCCTGGGGCCGTCTTGGCGCCTCTTGGGCCGTCGTGGCGCCCTCTTGGGCCGTTGTGGGGCCTTCTTGGGGGCCTCTTGGGCCATCTTGGGGCGCTCTTGGGGGCCTCTTGGACAATCTTGGACGCCTCTTGGCCCGTCTTGGCGCCCTCTTGGGCTATTTTGGGGGCCTCTTGGGAACATCTTGGGCCGTCTTGGGGCGGTCTTGGGGGCCTCTTGGACCGTCTTCAACGCCATGAAAAGCGAAAAGCCGTATATGCTAAAAATGCACGTTTTCCTTAAGACAATCAATGATTTTGGCCTCTTGGGGCCCTCTTGGGACGCCTCGTGGGCGTCTCCTGGGGCGTCGTGGAGGCCTCTTGGGACGTCTTGGGGCCGCCTTGGGCGGTCTTGGGCTCTCTTGGAGCGCTCTTGGGCCGTCTTGGGCGCTTCTTGGGCCGTCTTGGGCCGTCTTGGGCGCCGTCTTGGGCGCTTCTTGGACTGTCTTGCGCCCAAGAAGCGTTCTCCGATGATGTCTCGAGCGAAACTCTGTTTTTAAGCCCCGAAGGCCGTCCTACTCGATAAAAAACGAGGGAAGAGAGCAATTCGATCCGGGGCCCACGATGCCAACCTCCTCGAACTCCCCCAAGTCCAATTTCTTCCGACTAACGGACCGCACGCTAACTCGCGCTTTCCGTCATCTGCTTGGCACGAGGGCGGAAGACGTAATCCCACCAGCCCTCTGGGCGTCGGTGGTTTAGAGCGTTTCCTCTTCCACCCCTCCTTCTTCCCCTTCGGGGAGGGGTTTACCCCTCCTCCTACCCCCTCCCCACTGACCTGGACAGGGGGGGCCGCGATCGGTCAGAGCGTCCAAGATCGACCCCTGGGAGGGCTAAAATTCGACACCCCTCACGAGGATCGTGGCTCCTGAGGGGGGGGCTGAAATTTAGGAACCCCCCTTCGTTGATCGATCTCCTCCAAGATGGCTCCGAGAGACGTCTTGGACCCCCTCTTGGGCCCTGCGCGCGGGCGGGCGGAGCGCCGCCCGCCCGCCCGCAAGGCCCAAGAGCCCACCAAAACGTTCGAAGACACTTCCAATACGCCACCAGGGAGGAGGAAGAGGCGGAGGAGGAGGAGGAGGAGGAGGAGGAGGAGGAGGAGGAGGAGGAGGAGGAGGAGGAGGAGGAGGAGGAGGAGGAGAGGGAGGAGGAGGAGAGGAGGAGGAGGAGAAGGCGGAGGAGAAGAGGAAGAGGGGAGGAGAACAGCTGCCGATCATCGGCGCTCTTCGTTCGAGTGCCTGGTGTAGGATGGGCTGGTGGGGATACGCGAAGCGTCAAGAATTTACTTCGTGATGGCGCGAGATCACCGGCTTGTCCGTTGCTCCTCCTCTTACGTCCTCTCTTCCTCGCACTTGTCGCATCCTTGGGGAATATTGGGACCCTCTTTGGCCGTCTTGGGAAACTCTCGGGGTACATTTGGACCCTTTTGGGCCGCTTTGAGGCCTTCAAAATAAGTTTCACGACGATGTTAGAAACATGATCCTAAACATGTGTCGTTGGAGAGAAAAATAAGTTTCACGACGATGTTAGAAACATGATCCTAAACATGCGTCGTTGGAGATAGATCCTTTGTGAAATGGTTTCCATCACGGAATCGCCATTTTTGGCAGTCTCGAAGGAGCTCCTGGACCGTTTGGGTTGGACGGACATCCGCCTGGCCGTGGTTATCTGGGCCGCTTTAACCAGCCTGGCCGTTTTGACCAGCCTAGCCTTTGTGACCCGCCTGGCAGATCTAGCACGCCTCGCCGTTTCAACCTAGCTGGCCGTTTCAAACTGTCTGGCCATTTTCATTCGTGTTAATCGTAACTCGCTTCACAATTTTAAACTGCTGGTCCGTTGAATCCACATGACCACTTTAACCCGCTTTGTGATTTTAACCTGTCTGGCCGTTCTAACGCACCTGGGCGTTTGAACA